CCCACCCTGACCTGACCTCCACTGACGAAAATCCGTCCTCGGCCACGGGCACCGGCCCATGGCCCATGGCCCTTTGGGGGGTGGGATGGGTGGTGTGTGGGTGCGTGAGTCTCTGCTCACCCATGAGGTATCTTCCTCTCTCCATCGCACCCTGGACTACCACCTTTTGCCCCTACAGTACATAACCTTAGCCTCACCCACCCTCTCGCGGCCCATGGCATGCCACCACCAGATCACACCAACACTACCATTCATACTGAACGGACAGGACTGAACGTCAGTCCTTTTCCACCTTCGGCTCGCGCTTCCTCCACCTCACGAGGAGCCACCACGCATCAGTCACCAACACATGACTGACTTGTTTATTATTGTTCCATCACCTCTTCTGCCCTCCTCTTTGCGGCCGGAATCTTCGTCCCGTCTCATCTTGACTCGGTCCTCCCACATTCTCTCTTGTGTTTGACATCACAGCACAAGAATTCGAACTGAAGCGCGACACCAACAGACTTGTATCACGCGAAACCCCCTCCACCCGTAAGTCCACCTCCCACCGTTCAACGCACCACGGCCTTTAAATCTTTCCGGTTTTCCACTGCTCCCGCTCGACCCGCCTCCCGTCCCATTTCATCATCCCCGCTCCTCCACTACCACCTTCACACTGCATCTCACGGCATCGGCATCAATCACTATCCCCAAGGCCTCACTCCAATCCCTCTTTTGATATTTGCAGCAACCCTCTTTGTTCTGGCTTTTTGTGTTGCTTTGCCCTGTTGCCAACGTCGGAAGAGTGAGCGCGCGCCTCCCCGGGAGCCGATCCTCCATCCTACAATCCCCTCGTTCACCTCGCAGTGGACCCGCCCCCCGCTGCATCTCACTCACCTCCCAAAATAAACCGACCAACCCCCTCCAGAGACGCTTTTCAATCTTGCTGCGAATCCACCCTCACCGCCATAGCCGACTAACACAATCCATGAATAGAGGGTTACTTTCACATCTCACCCACAACACAAATCTTCACTCGCTGCGCCGCCGTTCACGCCGCAGCGCATATACCAACAGTGACCTGCAATGGTATCAGCCTTCCCCATGCAGACGTACTACAGACCTACGCCCTTGACTGTCGACACAAATCATGCCCAGAAGTACTTCGAGGAAGAGGACCACAGCATCTTAGACGAAAACATCCTCGATAACAGCGGCCTCGATTCCGGTCTCGAAATGTCCCCGCCAATGGCCAATAGTCGCCGCGAGTCCTTCGCCGTCGGCTCTTCACTCTTCTCGCCCAAGACGGAAGACTGGCAGCCCGTTGACATGCAATCTGTACCCTCCAACAACCCCTTCATTGAGCCGCAGCACGGCAACAACCCCTTCATGCGTGTCGAGCACCCTCAGCCTTCGCCCTTTGCCCCCCATGGCAACTCCTGGTCTCTTGGAAACGCATCCGGCTCCTGCACACCTCTTCAGCAGTTCGACGGCATGCCCACTGAATATGACAATGCATCCGTCTTCCACCGCTCCGTGCAGGGCCAGACGCCATTCAGCAACCCCACCGGCCAAATCAACATGTTTTCTTCCATCGGCTCAGGCAACCAGTCCATCCCCACCTCGCCCCAGAAGGGTTGGAATGGCCAGAACGAGTCCATGGCCAAGAAGATGCGCACGGGCAGCCCCGGCATCCGCTCTCACAACGAACTGCGCAGGGGCGACGGCATCAGGAAAAAGAATGCTCGCTTCGACATTCCAGCTGAGCGCAACCTCAACAATATTGACCAGCTCATCGCGCAGTCGACCGACGAGCAGGAGATCAAGGAGTTGAAACAGCAGAAACGTCTGTTGCGCAATCGCCAAGCAGCGTATGTTGACACCCTTCCACTCCACCTATAGTCACCTACTAACGTGCCACGCCAGCCTTGATTCCCGCCAGCGGAAGAAGCAGCACACGGAGCGTCTGGAAGACGAGAAGAAGCAGTACACCACCATCCTCACAGATATGGAGGAGGAGATTG